ATCTGGGCTCTCTGCTCAGTGGGGAGCCTGCTTCACTTCCTCTCTCTCTGCCTGCCTCTCTGCCTACTTGTGGTCTCTGTTAAATAAATAAATAAATAATCTTAAAAAAAAAAAAAGTTTACTATACCCCATGTGGGGCTTGAACTCACAACCCTGAGATCAAGAGTCACACACTCTTCTGACTCAGCCAGCCAGGCGTCCCTGTTATGCTGCTGTTGTGTTGTGTTGTTTCACAGCCTAGTGTTGTTAGCTACTTATTTTGCTGATTCCAAGACATATATTCCCATCTTTAAATATCCGAAGTTGATGTGTTACAAGTTAATTAGCAGGATGTTTTCTTTCTTAGCAGTATATAAAATAATGACGGGTCCTTATAATTAATGTCTTGGATGCAAAGATACATGGAGAATTTCTCATATATTTAGGAGTGCTCCTTCGGGGGAGGCCCTGCCTGGAACACAGTCCCCACAGCCCCTCGGATGTTCAATGACAAGCGGCCAGAGAATTCCCGGTTCTGCCCACGAGGGAGTGAGACAGTGCCCGGTCTTCACCGATGTAAGCAGTGCCCCCCAAATGGCTCTGACGCTGCTGTGACCGGGTGGGCGGCCATCCTGCTGCCCCAGCTCCCTCCCCTCCTTCAGGGATTAGCCACACCAACGCTCTGTTGCTGATTCCACCCCGACAGGGACACCAGTCTCTTGCTTCCTTCGTCCACATCTCTGAACAATATTCAGAAAGGTCACATATCTCCTAGTCACCCAAACCACTCCCTTCCCCACCCCTGCGTGCACAGTGATGCACTTTCTCCCACACCCACAAATGCCAGGTCTGCCAGCAGCCAAGAACGGGGCTCCTTGCGCTCACAGAGCCTCATCACCGAGCTGCGTAGATACCCCCGACACTGAGCCTGCACCACTTTCTTTGATGGGTTCCTAATTAATTTCTCAGAAGAAACTGAACACAAAATATAGTAAGGAAAGAAGGCCGTTTCAAAAAGCCGAAATTAGGGGCACCTGGGTGGACGAGTTGGCTTGAGTGTCTGCCTTCTTTGAGTGGGGTCATGATCCCAGAGTCCTGGGATCAAGTCCTACGGTGGCGCAGAGGCGGGGGCTCCCTGCTCAGCGGGAAGTCTGCTTCTCCCTCTCCACCTGCCTCTCTCCCCTGCTTCTGCTCGCCTTCTCACTCATTTGCTCAAACAAATAAAAAAAATCTTTAAAAAAAAAAAAAAAAAAAGCCTAATTTTGATTAGTATGAGGGAGCTCCCCAAATTCCTGTTTTGGTACGAAAAGCACTAATAGTGACCCAGGTGCACGGTCAGTGGTGAAGGGTGTTCCGAGTACTCGGTACACACACACCCTTCAGCGGCCTCACACACGTGTGTGGCCGCGTCGCAGACTAACAGTCCATGAAAGTCCCCACAGAGATTCATCTCCAACTCCTGGGCAGCAGAAGTGGACAAAGCATGGTTCCAAGTTCAGGCCACAGCCTGAATATCAAATTATAGTATGAAAAGGCCGAGTGTTTTTGTGGTGAAAGCACCCGAATTCCTTGGAGGCAAAAAGGAAGCTCAGAATGAGAGAATAATGCCCCCAGGAAGATGGCTCAGGGTGGGGGGTGGGGGGGCAGCTGTTCTTTCTCTCCAAAAAGCTTAAAATACCCAGTGTCTCCTGCCATCTCTGTCTTTCTGAATGACCCCCTTTTCCTTCCCACTCCTCTGGGACTAGCTCAACTCCTGGCCCCCACCTCTCCCAGCAGGGTTTTCATCAAAGGCTCTCTATGTTTTCACCACAAATATAGTCCTAATACATTCTTAAAGGGGCTAATAATTGTGGGGCACTTACTGCGGGCTGGAGCCTCGGATGAGACGGTTGTAGGTGATGGCCTCGTGGATGTTTTTATTTTAATGGGGGAACTGATGATGTATATTAGAAAAAATTCAGAGCCCGCACCTGTGATCTTATAGTTGTAGTGGCTCAAGGTTTCTAAGTTAAAAAAACTGAATTTCAAGTTGATTTTCTTTTTATAATTAAGGACAGAAGAGCAGAGGCAACACCAAACTCCTGATTCTTTCAGCCCCAAATGTGCTGGACTTCCAGAGACTCCCCATCTCAGTAAAGGGCACAGTTGTTCCAACTAAAAACCTTGCAGTCCTTCTTGACTCTTCTTCCTCGGTCACACACCCACCATCTGATCCACCAGCAAATCCGACCAGCTCGTCCTCCAAAATACAGCCCTCCCTAAAAACCTAAAATATCCCTAAAAACCACCGAGTTTCACAGCACACTTCGGATAGAATCCAAAGTCCACACCAGGGTCCACAAAGGTCCCTTGGACCTCGGCGACCCCCACTTTCCAAAGCACTCTACTGCAGCCACACTGGCCTCCTTGGTGCTCCCCAAACACACGAGCCTTGGCATCCCTGGTCCCTCAACCAGGGATACTCCCTCCCAAATCCCCTACTTCATCCCATCAAATGCTGAGTGATCTTTCCCTACCACTCTTAAAACGGCCCCTCCACTATTCTAGGAATCCAGACTACTCCTCCCAGCACCAACTGAGGCTATAGGTATTATATTGTTTACAATCTGTATTTACTCACCATGACTGTCTCCCTTATTAGAACAAAGGCTTCGTGAGGAAAGTGTCCCTTGCACCTATACAGTATCGGCCATACAGTAAGTGCTCAGTGACACCTAAATGCTCAGAACTGAAGGTGGCACTTCATGGCTGGACTGTGACCATGCTGGGCTAGGACAGTCATGTGTTAGTTCATTTAATCCTAACAACACTCCTGGGTGTCCTTTCTGTTGGGAACCAAGGTTCAGGGATGTTAAGTGACTTGCCCAAGTCCCTGTGGGACTTGGACTTTTTGTGAGGTTGCGAAGGGCCCAAGTTCCTTTGAACACATCAAGCTATCTTCAAAAGCGCTTCTTTTCTTCAAAAGACCTTTCAAGGTACCATGCTGGCTGGGGACCAAAGGTGAAACTCCTCAGTGCTCTGCCATCTGGCCCCAGCACGCCCACCTGGCACCATGTTGCCAGCAAATCCCCAGCCCTTCCTTCGAGCCTCCACTGACCCAGTCAAATTAGGCCGGCCACAGCCCCTCAACACTGACCACACAGTGCGGAATCCGCACTGTGTTAGTAGTAGAGGGCTCCCTCCCCCGAGGGTGCGCACACTTCTTTATCTTTGTATCCCCAGGTCCTACAACCACAGACTAGGAACCCTCAAGGCCATCTGCTCAATGCTGATATTTGAGCTGCTCCTACCAGACTCAGGACAGTGGAGAGCCAGTCAGCAAGCAACATATGCGGCCTGGACACTCAGACACCCTATGAGCAGAGGTCTTGGTCATCCTTAGGGGGGGACGGGCCTTGTGTGGACATCTCTGTCATCCCCTTGCCTCTCATCATGATGTTATGTGCTCAAAGCTAATCGTCCTGTCTTGAAAGGATTCTCCTTCCACCCAGGAACACATTCTGGAGCTAGCAAAGCTTCTGTCTAACCTGAGTCTCCTGGGCGCCACCATACCCAGGAAAGAAGGAAGCTGGATGCCACTCTCTTCAGCAAGCTGAGCTGGCCCACAGCAGTTACCACTTCCAGCACTCACTACAGTCCAGCCTGTATTTCTGGAATTTTTGCAATGGGTAAATTTATACAGGGGCCCTGCCCTTTGGGAGCTCACAAAGCAAAGGGCCAGGCCTACCTAACTCAATGACAAGGCTGACCTGCAGAGCACTAGTCAAATAAAAGGGCAGCCAAAGATGTGGAGGGGAAGAGAGCAGTCCCCACTGGGCAGCCCTTGGAATTGCTATGGTGGAAGGGCAATTTCAAAAGACAGTGTACACAAAGCGGGTCATTAGTATACAGCCCTGAAGGTCATCCCTCCCAATGATTCTGATGCTTTCAGGCCCAGGGCAGGAGGGCGTGTCTTTGCAGCTCTGTAAGTCCCACGCCAAGCACTGGACATGGCTACAAATGCTTTTTTTACCAGTATGTATTGAGTGCCTGGCACCTAGTGGTGGTAAGCGCTGGTGAGATCTGTCATAGATCCTAAGTACGGGAGGCAGACAAGTGGAGAGGCAAGCACAACAGACTGCTCCATCTGGGGAGGCCCCAGGGGCCCCACACACTATGCTGGTAGGTCAGAACAGGCTCAAGGCACCAAGATGTGTATCTACGTGCATGTGAGACAGGACGACGCAGGGGCAAGACACCAGCGCATGGGGGTCCAGACTCCGGGGTAAGGGTGAGTCTCAGGACAAATCTCCCACGGCCTGCTCTCCCCTTAGAGTTCAAGAAACTGAGGCATAGTGCGTTAAGAGTCAGGACCAGAACCCGGGCTGCCACTCAGGTCATGCCTTCCGCAGCGACTAGAGGTTAACAGGGTTTCTGGAATCAGACGGCCCGATTTTAACCCTGACTCTGCCGTGTGGCCTCTTGCCGTTGTGGCCCTGGGCAAGTGACCGCCTGCCTCTCTGTGCCGCAGTTTCTTTACCTGTCCAACGGGAGTAACTGTAGTACCTACCTCCCGGGGCTGTTACATAAACTAAGCTTACAACGTAAAGCAATTGGCAGGAAACCTGGGAGATGATAAGCGGTAACCAGCGGCTGCTGCGACTATGACTGTTTTTCTCCCGCGGCCGCTCAGTGCCGGCGGTGGGCTCACCGCCCGGGCCATCTCCGCCGCAGCGCGCCACGTTCCCTTCCGGCTCCAGGCCGCACCCCACCCTCGACGCGCCCTTGACGCTCGGGGTCGCTGGACCGCGAATCCCAGCCCCCGACGACCGGGCGGCAGCGCGCACGCGCGGGCCTCGCGCGGCTGCACGCGTCCCGGTCCTCGGGAGTGAGGGGGGCCGGCCCGGGAGAGGGGAGGCCGGCGGCCACTCCTCGCCAGGGAGGAGGAGGCGGCCCAACGGCGGAGAGGGAGCCGCGCCTGCACCCGACAGGCCCCCCTTGGGCTCCCAACCCCCAGCCCGGAGAGCGGGTCGGTTCCTCACACTCTGCAGCAAGCTCCTCCTCTGCGCCGCCATCTTGGAGGGACCCCCGGGGCTGCGCCCGCCTCCCAGCAGAGCAGGCGAGAAGGGCGGCTAGAGCGGCCTGAAGCCGGCCGGGAGGATCTGGCTGCCGGGGAGCACGCCCACAGCGCCACCCTATGGCCAAAGTGGGATGGGGCCATGGAGAAGTGTGTGCGCAGGCGCTGTCTTCTGCTTTTTCTCTCTCGGGAGGAAAAGGGAAGGCTTCCCTAAATGATTGGCTCTCGCCCATTTTGTTTGCGTATTTTCTCCAGGATGTTTTTCAAATGGGGCTCCTGTGTCACCGGATTTGCGTTCTTTATGAACACTTTGGGCGTGGGGTTCGGTGAATTATTCATTCACTCGATAAATATTCGTTGGGTGGCCATGCCTGGCCCTATGGGGTGAAGCAGCAAGCAAGACACCCTCAGAAATCTGTTTGAATTGGGGAGGACATCATTTACATGTGTAAATAATTTCGAAGTGGGCTAAGTGGTAGGAAGAGAAGTTTATGGATGGGGCATGGGAATGGAGGGCAGGCCAGGCGGAGGGGACATCTAGTGCACAAGGCACGAGAAAAGGGAGCGTGTGACTGCGGCTTCAAGAAGCATGCGTGTCCCAGAAGGGATCTGTGGCTAGAACAGAGGTGGAGGGGATGTGAGATGAAGGGCTCTGGGGTGGGTTCTGACCAGGCTGGAGTTGGGCTATTCATGTGGTGGACAAAGGAAACTTGTTGACTAATGAGCAAGCCAGGGACGTGTTTGGTAGAAAGATGCCTTTGACTACCAGGTACAGAACAGATGTTTAGGAGCCTTGGAGTGAAGACCAATTAAGGGACTGTTGTGTTAGTTCAAGATGATAGTAGTTTGTCTGCTGCCAGTGCCAAGGGGATGGATTTTATTTAGATGAAATTGTCATGACTTGGTTCATGGATTGGTTGGGGTTGTGATGGAAAGAGATTTGCCAAAGATTCTCCCAGACTTCCGGAAAAAAAAAATTTAAAAAACAGCTGGAAAATTTTAGGTGCTTTTAAAACACGCAAGAAAAGAAGTCGGATCAGTCCTGAGATGGAGTGGACTAGAGAAGACCACATGGAAAGAGCAGGAGGGATGGAGAGGTGGGGGAGCCTTGACACATAGAACCCAGGGTGAGGAGGGCAATGGACAATGATGTCACATACTTTTGAGTGATCTAGTTAGAAGATTACTGAAGAAAGTCCATTAGGTTTAGCCATCCAGAGGCCCTTATCCCAGGAAGTTCAGGTAGGAAGGTAGCACAGAAACCCAGATACAGTGAGTTGAGGAGCCGTTGGGGTATGGGGACATGGAGACCTTGAGAATCAGCAGTTCTCCCTAGCTGGTGGGCTGTAAAGAGCAGGAGAGAGGGAAGGGAACATGAGATCGAGTGTGTTTTCTTTTAGGTTGGGAGGAACTTGAGCCTGTTTAAATGCTGAAGGAAAGGCTTGCCAGAGAGGAGCTGACGATTTGGAAGAGGGAAGGGGAGGCCATCTAGGTCTGGGATGGTGACATTATCTTGTTTTACCAGCACAGCTCCTAGTGGCCCAGGATGACTGCTTGTAACTCCAGCTATTTCGTCTGAGTTCTGCCAGCAGGAAGGAGAGAGGAAGGGAGGAAGATACACTTCTCTTACTCTTTTTTTTTTTTTTAATTAAAGATTTACTTTCATGCAATCTTCCCTTTTTAAGGAGACTTCCAGAAGTTCCACCTGATGTTTCTCCTTACATCTCATTGACTATAATCTAGCTGAAGGGAGGTAAAGAAACCAGACTTTGGACTGAGCTACAGGGGCCCACCTACAGTTTCCATCACTAAAGAAGGATTGAGATGTGGATACTAGGAGGCTGTGAACTGTCAGTGCCACAAAAGGGAGTGGGAGGGACCAGGCAGTTTTTTGAAGAAGAGTCTGGAAGGATTCAGGATTTGGAGCCCAACCCACTCTGTTCTAATCCCAACCCCATATACTTTCACCTCTGTGACCTTGAACAAGCCACTTGAGTCTCAGGGTCCTCTGTAGAACAGATTAAGTGAGGTTCCTTCTAAAGACCTGTCCTGTGGTAAGTGCTGATGTTCATTACATTCAAATTAAAATTTTTTATTTAAAGATAATAAACGCATCCTGAGTGCCTCCTGTATGGCAGACACTTGCCAGATGCTTTTTCATCATAGTTATTTCTCCCTCCAACGTGGTCTTACAATCATCCCTAATTTCATAAAACAGGAAACTTCAGTTCAGCAAGTCACCCAACAGGTAGATTTTGGGATTCGAATCCAGGCCCCACGACTCTGTGATGTTGTGATTGAATGAGAAATATAAATCTGGTCTTCATCTCTGGTTCTTGGCTTCCAAATCCTTGAATGACAGGGGTCCCACCAGCATTTTTTTTTTTAATATTTTATTTATTTATTTGAGAGAGACACAGTGAGAGAGAGCATGAGCGAGGAGAAGGTCAGAGAGAGAAGCAGACTCCCCGTGGAGCTGGGAGCCCAATGCGGGACTCGATCCCGGGACTCCGGGGTCATGACCTGAGCCGAAGGCAGTCGTCCAACCAACTGAGCCACCCAGGCGTCCCAACATCTTTTGTTATAATATTTGGTTACCCTCCTAGCTTCTGGAAGGGCTTTGGAACTTTTCCGGTTTATGGACGTGATAGGGGCATCTTTTGTTATTCACTGGAAGCCCATTCAGCAGTCCTGGATTTTATGAGATGACCAGTGGCTGGAAGGCCCTGGGTAATTTCAGGTGGGAGGCCCGTTGCCAGAGGATCCAGTCATGGGATTAGCCAGTCTGGCCCCCACTTCTTGGGGGTGGGGTTTGGGATTGGGTCGATCGCTAATGGCCAATGATTTAAGCTGCCATCCCTATGTCACAGAACCTCCACAAAACCCTGACCAAGGGGGTTTGGAGAGCTTCTGGGGTGCTGAGAGCATCCACATGCTGGGATGGTGGCACCTGCCACACTCCATATGCCCAGAAGCTCTTGCGCTCTGTGGATTCTTCCAGATCCCCCCCGTGTACCTATTCATCTGGCAGTCCATTTGTGTCTTTGGTAACAGCCTTTTTTTTTTTTTTTCTTTTTAAAGATTTTATTTATTTATTTATTTGGCAGAGATCACATATTAGGCAGAGAGGCAGGCAGAGAGAGAGAGAGAGAGAGAGACATGGGAAACAGGCTCCCTGCTGAGCAGAGAGCCCGATGCGGGGCTCGATCCCAGGGCCTTGGGATCATGACCTGAGCCAAAGGCAGATGCTTAACAACTGAGCCACCCAGGTGCCCCTGGAACCTGTTTTTGTGTTTTTTTTTTTTTAAATCCACACCCCAAGAATTACTCCCTCAATCAGTACTGATCATTTAAAATCATGCTGCTTCGGGCTCTCTGCTCTGCAGGGAGCCTGCTTCCTCCTCTCTCTCTCTCTCTCTGCTTGCCTCTCTGCCCTCTTGTGATCTCTCTGTGTCAAATAAATAAAAATCTTTAAGAAAAAAAAAATAATAAAAAAAAAATAAAATCATGCTGCTTGTTGGGATGCCTGGGTGGCTCAGTGGGTTAAAGCCTCTGCCTTCAGCTCAGGTCATGATCCCAGGGTCTTGGGATCAAGCCCCACATCGGGCTCTCTGCTCCGCAGGGAGCCTGCTTCTTCCTCTCTCTCTCTGCCTGCTTGTGATCTCTGTCTGTCAAATAAATAAATAAAATCTTTAAAAAATAAAAAAAATAAAAAAATAAAATCATGCTTCTTGTTTGCAGAGACCTTCCTGAGGGCAGGAACCGTGGCAGTTCAGCTCTTGGTCTCCTCACAGGCTCCAGAGAAACTTCTCAGCGGATGTGTGTAGCATCTAACCGGTTCAAGAGGCAGAGCTGAAGAGATCACATTGGTCGACAAGGCAGCTGGGAACAGGCCATCTGTCCCCAGGTACCCAAGTGACTTCAAGGGGAGCTGGGACTAGGACTTGGGGCTTCCGCTCCCCACCCCAAGTCCTCTTTCCACACCGGACCACCTCCGTAATGTACCATGGTGGGTCCTCCTTCCAAAGTTCCTCTGGTCTGGTTTCCCAGGTGATGCAGTTTTGGAATGCTGGTTTATTAGAGGGGTCCATAGCTGATGGCCGAGAAAGAATTCTTGAGATGTCTTTGGTGCAAAAGTGTTCTTAAAGCACAGGGGCAGGACCCCTGGGCAGAAAGAGCCGCACTGGGGTCCTAAGAATGGTTGATAATATACTTCCAAGTGGAGAGGTAGTTAGGGATAGTATAAGTCTCTAAGGAACTTGGAAGCAAGGTTTCCAGGACCTAGAGGGGCTAGCTGTTGTTTTAAAAAGGTCATTTATGGGGCACCTGGGTGGCTCAGTGGGTTAAAGCCTCTGCCTTCAGCTCAGGCCATGATCCCAGGGTCCTGGGATTGAGCCCCGCATCGGGCTCTCTGCTCAGCAGGGAGCCTGTTTCCCGCCCCCTTCTCTCTGCCTACTTGTGATCTCTATCTGTCAAATAAATAAATAAAATCTTTAAAAAATATATAAATAAAAAAATAAAAAGGTCCTTTACTACCGTCTAGAAAAACCTTACTCATGAGACCCTTCACATGTTTATCAGGGGGCCATATGCTTGGAGGATGATTGATAACATCTATTTTGGGGGGTGGATAGAGAGAAAGGAAGTTTCCAAAGGGATTTTTACAGGATCCTAGAGGTTGGGCTAATGTCGAGCTAAGGTAGCCTTTTGCCTCCAGCAAAGGATTCACAGGGAGGCAGCTTAGCTCCTGGAGGAAGGTCACTCTGCCTGTCCCAAGTACTTGTCAGTGGGCTGCAAAGGAAATTTAATTTTTCCTATATCCCTTTTGCCTTTGTTCTCCACATCAGTGAGACGGAAATCTGCTGTGGACAGTTCCCCTTCTCCTCTGGGGACAGCATGCCCGGGCACCGGGTTGTGATGTGGGTCCTGTTTTCCCAGGACAGCCCTCTGGTTCATACTGGGGTTTGCGGTCAATCCCAGACAAGCCAGAGGAACAAAGATCCCACAGCTGCTGACCTTGAAAACCACTTAAACAGCCAGGCAGAGCTCCAGGCCCTCTCACCGGA